TTAAGAGATTTTGCAAACCAAGTTGCGGGTGGGTGGGTGGGATGTTAGCGCGAGCAGTGGAGGTGGTCAAGCGCGGTGCATGGTAGTCAACTCTCCTTTCTAAAAAAGAATAGACTCTACCCCCCCCCCCCCCGGATTTATCGGTTCCCCCTGGGATAATATAATTTCATACATATATATATATATACACTCTGCACACTCGTCCATCCTAAATATGAAACCACACCATCCCAGCCAGGCCAGGTTCCCCCCCTGAGGTTCCCTTGTGAAAAAATTTTATATATATATATATATATATATAAACAAAAAACTATGCGGTGACATGTTTTGATCTAACATAGCACTTTTTCGCGAATCCCTTACAAAAAATGGGACGAAGTGCACACGCGCGCGTCGTCGCGCGCGCATGCCGAAATCCTTCAAAAACCTTTGGTGCCAGAAATATTTCGCAATCGAGTTTCCAAAAAAACATCCAAAAACAAAGGGTTTCGCAACACTGATTTGCTAAAAAAGCTGCCGCGCGAGCTCTTGCGAAATCTTACGAAAACCATAGGTTTTTCAAGATTGTCACAAAATCCGACCAAACGGGCTTCGCGCGCGCGCATGTCGAAATCTGTCGAACGCCCTTGCGCGTGTGCCGTCGCGAGAATCCTCTGTAAAAAATGGGACGAAGTGCAGACGCGCGCGTCGTCGCGGGCGTATGCCGAAAACCTTCAAAACCCATCGGTTTCGGAGAGATTTCAAAATCGCGCGTCCAAAAAACCTACAAAAACACAAGGTTTCCCAACACGGATTTTCAACAAAAGCGTGCGCGCGCGCTCTTGCGTCGTCGTCGTCGTCGTCGCCGTCCTCCCTCCTCCCGCGTCGTCGTCGTCGTCGCCTAGGTCGTCTTCTGTTTTTTCTCGTGTTCGTCGTCGTCCTCCTCTTTGGCGTCGTGGTCGTTTCCGTCGTCGTTGTCGCCGTGGTCGTCCTTCCTCCTCCTCCCACGTCGTCGTCGTCGTCGTCCGTCCTCGGCGTCTCGTCGTCGTCCCTCCTATTTCGTCGCCGTCGTCGTCGTTGTCGTCGTCGTCTTCCCTCCTCCCTCGTCGTTGTCGTCGTCGGCGTCGCGGTCCTTCCTCTTTCGTCGTCGTTCGCGTCGTCGCCGTCCTCCCTCCACCCTCGTCGTTGTCGTCGTTGTCGTCGTTGTCGCCGTCGTCGTCCTTCCTCCTCCCTCGTCGTCGCCTTCGTTGGCGTCGTCGTCGTCTTCGTCGTCGTCGGCGTCGGCGTCGTTGTCGTCGTCGAAGTCGTCGGAGACGTCGTCGGTGTCGTCCTAGTCGCTGTCGTCGGTGTCGTCGTAGTCGATCTTAGCAGGTTTTGCAAACCAAGTTGCGGGTGGGTGGGTGGGATGTTTGCGCGAGCAGTGGAGATGACGACTTCAAGTTCAGCAGAGTGGGTTGCACAGCATAGATTGCACCACATAGCGTGCACCAGACAGACTTTGCCACAGCTTGCACCACACAGATTGCACCACATGGCTGGCACCACATATGTTGCACTACAACTATCGCGCGCGCTTCGCGCCGGCTCAAACTCTAGCGAGCTTCTTGGGGCCTCCTCGGAGCATCCTGGACTGCTTCTTGAAGTCGTCATGGGACCTTCTTGGCATATCTTCGGGGGTATCTTGGAAAGAGTTTTGAAGCCTTTTGGGTGCCGTCTTGGAATCTCTTGGAGCCTCTTTTAGGTTTCTTCGGAACCCTCTGGGGGCCTCTTGGGGCATCTTGGGGCCTCTTGGGGGCTTCCTGGGGGCATCTTGGGGCATCTTGGGGACATATTGGGGCGAAGAGCTTGATTTTTCAATTCGCGTTCCCTCTCTTGGCCCCTCTTGGGGCCTTCTTGGGACCCTCTTGCGCCGTCTTGGGCGGCTCTGGGACCGTCTCGGGGCTCTCTTGGGCCGTCTTGGAACCCTCTTGGGGGCCTCTTGGGCCGTCTTGGAGCGGTGTTGGGAGCCTCTTGGGCGGCACTTTCGCGCCGGAAACACGAAACAGCGAGAATGCAAAAAAACATTAAAAACCAACAAAAAACATTAAAATCAACGATTTTGCCCTCTCGGGGCGCTCTTTTTTTTCCGTCGTCCAGATGGGGGCCTCGCCCTTGGGAGTGCACACTAAACAGCGCTAAAAATGAGTTAGCGGCCTCGTGGCCGAGTGGCCGCGGCCTCGTGGCCGAGTGGCCTGTTTAGTCTGCAGTACAAAAGTTGGTTGACCACAGTAGCAGACGCGGCAGATGCGGGACGAGGGGAGGCGACGAAGAGGAGTGACTACGAGAACACGTAATTAGGAGGAGACAGACGCCCGAGGCAGAGAAGCTGGGCAAAGATGGCCCCGGCTGGCACTCACCACGCCGCAAACGTGAGTGCATCCGTCGACGAAGTTGGACTGCCGTCGCTCGGGCTGGCGGCGTAGCCCTTCTTCAGGGCGATGGTGCGGATGCACCTGTGGCTCTTGGTGGATGCCTGCTCGTGGTCGTCTGCTCCCAGGAGCCCTCCGACGGGAAGGCCGACCTGCCCCAGGTGCTTCAGATGGACGTTCAGGTACTCGATGCCCTGCCACGTGTGCCCCCAGACAACCTTGAGGCCCACCCCGCCGAAGTACATCCACTCTGTGCTGCGCCGCCCGCCCGCCGACCCCGCGAGGAACTGGAGGCCGCCGCCGGTCCTGCTGTAGGCACTGCGCTCGATCTCGGCGTGATCGACGGTCGAATTGCTCTCGACCCAGCTGCCCGTCACATTGAAGGCACGGAAATACATCTCCCCGCAAGCGGCACCGAACTGCTCGACATGCGCCTTGACGAGCAGCCTCGTGGCGTCAAGCGCTGCGCCCCGGGGTACCTGGAGAAGCACATGGGCGCCAGGCTGGTAGATGTCGAAGCGCTCACCGTACATGTTGACCAGGTGTGGGTCGCCAGTACCCTGGACTGGAGACGGAGTCGGAGATTGAGTCGGGGAAGGCGTCGGGTTGGGCGTCGACTGCCTACAGATAGCATGAGCCCCGTAATTCGAACAAGGAACATCGTGCCAGATGTTCGAGGACATTCTGAACGACACGCACGGCTCAGCATCACCGTTTTGAAGATGATCACCCCCGCTAGGTGACGCTGAGACGTCAAACGCACTGCCATCATGCCACGCCCATGCCCCCTGTTCCCATTGCAGTCCGATCCAACATTCGTTCTGGCCGAGCTGCTCGCAAACCGCCTTTGCCGCGCTTGCTTCAGCACTGTTGAGAATGGAACAAATGTGGCCGCCACTCTGTGAGCATGCGTCCACGCCCGCATCGAATGACGCTGCAGCGACAGCGAAGAAGAGTGAAGCTGCCACCGTCGGGCTGGGAGTCTGGACTGCGATGGCGGTTCGGTTCGTTGCGCCTACGTCGTGGAATGCTGTACGTCTAGTAACAGAAAAAGACACCTGCGGCAAGACAAAATAGAGCCATGCGACTTTGAAGTGCATGATCGTCGCTGGTAAAGAAACAGCGCGGGATGCGCTCACGGTTCAAGTTCGGTGGTGTGTGCCTCGTGGCTTGACCTTGGGCTTGAGCTAAAATGGCTACGGACCCTCTCGGGGCGCTCTTGGGCGGCATCTTAAAGGCCTCTTGGGGCGTCTTGGGGGCCTCCAGGGCAGTTTAAAACGCATCGTGCGTCGCCAAAGACCCCTGGACGACGTCTTGAGGGATCTCTGGGGCGATTTTAAGACTCCCAGAGGCGGGCCTGGGCCCCGGTCCCCACATTTGCGGTCGAGGTTCCTGCCCTCGGCCCCCGAGCCCGGTGCGCCGTTACATGTACACTACATATTTGGCGCCAAACATGTATTGCAAAGGCCAAGCTTGCAACTCATCAATTGCATCTTGTATATGACACCACAGGTAGAACGCATCCAGGGTGCAATAACTGACAGCTTGGGGGCCACGATGGCGAACAAAGTGGTGGCAGAGGACAGGAAAATTGAAGACGGACGGCAAGGGTGCCAAGATGCCAGGATTCAGGATGTCACCGCTCCATGTGTCGGGTGGACGCTGAGCACACCGCCCCTGGCGGTGCCAGCGCCGTGGCCAAGCGCTTGGCCCACTCCCATATTGAGGCAGGACAAGAACTATGCACACACACACACACCGATCCTGGCCAAACTGGCTTGGCCTTACCCTCCTGGCTCCAAGTCGGATGGATCCAAATCTTGTTGCTTTCCTCCAGCCTTGGCCCTCCCCTCCCACCTCCGATCGGATCTTGCTGTGCTGCTCCAAGCGTGGCCTCCCCCTCCTGCCTGCAATGGGATCGAAGTGCTCCACTCCGGGCCTTGCTCGGCCCAGGACCCGTGCATACGCCCTCTAAGAGGGCGCATGCACCGGTCATTTCGGCTACACGCAAGAGTGACCCTGGGTAAGAGTGACCTTTGGTGCGCGGCTTTTCGGGGGCCGCGAGGGGACCAAACCTGGGCGCGCAAACCGCTATTCCTGCATCGTTTCCAGCCATCTGGGGACCCATCTGTGCCCGCACCAAAGGTCACTCCGGCGAAAGGTCACTCTTACGTCTAGTCGATCCTTGGCATCTGGGCGGACACGGCCGGGATCGGGGCGCGCGTGCGTGTGCACATGGACGAGCGCGCTCCACTGCTCGCAAAGTAACCACTCGCATATGGCCTGGATCCGCCGCGGGAGATTCATGATCCTGAGTATCGGTTAACCGATCCCCATCCCCAGCGGCGTGGCCTGGGCCCCACTGGCCGATTTAACCCCCCCAGATGGGATATAGGTCGTTCCCTTCGGGTTCCGAGGGGTGTATCCCCAACTGGGGTGGTAATTTGGTGAGGTCTCGAAAGGGATGGGGATGTGGATGGGGATTGGTTAAACGATACCGAGATCCATTGCATAGAGGAAGACATGCTGGTTGTCGGACGTCTGCAAGTGGCCACTTTGCGAGAAATGGGACGCGCTCGGTGCGCACAATTCTCGTCGCACAGACCCGGGCTCATCGTCGATCTCACGGACGAGCGAGTTGCATCTCGTGATCAGCGGGTACTCCGTGTCCTGTGGGCGGGGCAGTCAGGGGCATCCCCAGAGCCCCTCGGACAGGAGAGGGCCCCCCGCAATGAACGTTGAGAGGGCGCCACCGCCGCCAACATCTCCGGCATCGCATCGATCTGGAAAACAGAAGCACATCTGCAAACATTATTGGAGCAGAACGGCCCCGTCGCGGCATCTAACTTGATCAAGATAATACGGACCAGCGCCCAGATCAGGCCTATCGATCCAACGGCTCTCACTGCCGAGTTTCTGATACATGTCCAACAATCCTACTTGCATCGTTGGAGAAGCACGGTTTGAGTCGTAGAGACCACTCAGCGCTCAACATGCCAAACCAAGAAACGATAGCTCCTGACCTGTGCGCATAATACAATTCTGGCACACCACGGCAAGTCTGGGATGAAGGCGCGACAACTCCACAAATCAGATGTGTGCGATCGAAGCTGCGATTGCGCGCCGTCCCAGCATCACACCTACAATACAACACAGAGCAGCGCTCACCTCAGGCCTACCGATCCAACGACTATCGTTGCCATAGCTCTGACAAATGTCCAGCGATCACACTTGCACCCTTAAAGCAGCACGGCCCGACTCGCGGTGATCGCTCGATGCTCAACAGAGCTAGCCAAGATAACGCATTGCTTCCGCAAACACTCCCCCCTCACTCAAACGAGTCGGCCGCAGGAAACGATGGACCTCAACATTTCGTGGGCACGTGCTGTCGTCACGGAGGTGCCAAGGAAACACGGCGGACCAAGACGGGGGGAACGAGGGGGAGGAGGGTGCACGGCGCTCTGATCCCCTGCGGCCCAGGCGGCCACCTATACAAAGCAAAGGTGCTCAACGGCATCCCAGAGGGGAAAGAGAGCGCGAGAGGGAGAGAGAGAGAGAGAGAGAGAGCGAGAGAGAGAGAGAACGACACGCCACAGCGTGGAAGGCATGCACCATGATAGAAAATGCGTCCACATTCCTATCAGCCCACCGTGGAAACGAAAGAAACAAGGGGAGCGAGAGAGAGAGAGAGAGAAGATGAGGATGAGGATGAGGATGAGGATGAGGATGAGGAGGAGGAGGAGGAGGAGGAGGAGGAGGACGAGGCGGAGGACGGGGAGGACATGGGACGGAAAACATAGCAGAAAGGAAGCGCGAGTCGAGCCTGGCGAAGACAAGACAACTCCTGACCAGTACGCACGGGCAGCTCGGTCCAGACAGGCATCTTACCGAGCTTGTGCGCAGTGCGACAGCTGCAACACAGGCGCAACGACTGCACCAGCGCACCAGGGGCTACCAGCACGACCAATCACGATGCTGAAATCCATGGCCGCAGATCCAGGCAATGCTCATTCGAGGCCTAGCAGTCCAGCGGCTCTTACTACCGAGGCACAGACAAATGTTTGCAATCACTCTTGCGTCCTTGGAGCAGCACGGCCCGACTCGTGATGAGCAGCTCGGCGATCCACAAGCCGGACCAAAACAGGGCAGGTGGCGTCCGGTTCGTGGCCCGCGCGTCCCTGGAATGGCATCGATCTAGCGCTCAACGTGACAACTCCGAAACATGAGCACTTCGATGTCGGAGTCCATGTGCCCCAAAATCAAGCCCAATCACACACACAAACACACACACACACACACGCACGCACGCACGCACGCACGCACGCACGCACTCGCAAACACACACTTGTTTGGCGTCGCGGCCCTGCGCGCGACGACAGGGCGGAGAAGGTCGTAAAGCAGCGAACGCGCGTGCGCGACCAAGAACGCCCGAGCCCTCGGAGCCCGCCCAGTCCCGCAGCGGCCGGCACCCACGAGCCATCCTGCCGTGGGTGGAGAGGGGGGCGGCGGGAGGACGAGGCTACAGAGGAGGTCCGTCCACCAGAAACCTTCCACGAGAAACGCAACCCTGAGACCCCAGGAGTACATTGATTTTTGGTGTGGGGGACGTCACGCCTTCCATCGCAAAACCGTCGAAACCCAAGAAACCCAGGGCACCCTGGAGGCAAGCAGGGTGTTTCTTGGCATGGGCCCCCACTGTATGGTGTGGTGGGGGTGTCACATGCCATCCAGGACTGGATGGCGGCACACACACACACACACACACACAAACAAACAAGCACCGCGCGCCGAAGACGCCACAAACCACGGAGGGGTTGCCCTTGACGGGGGGGAACAGTCCGCGCCTACTACGGGAAGCGGGGGTAAGATTAGGTCGGAAATGTCCCCCTACAGGCGGATATTGGAGGGACAATCTAAAATAGTCGACAAAAATCAAAAAAGAAAAAACTGCAACATTTTTTATATAAACCAAAAAACAGACAAAAAAAACGTCCCCAGACTATTTATTCCATTTTTGAATATTCCTCCTGTACAGGGACAGGCCCGACGTAAGGGTAAGACCGCGGAGAGGAACGAGGGTCAAAGCCTTTGCTGAGGAGCAGTGGCAACCAGCTGTAGGGGCAAGGCCTGCGACAGAAATGAGGTTCGTCGCAGCGCAATCGTTCGGCTGATATGCTGTTGCATCGTGGCTGCTTGGTTCGATGCATGGCGTCCCGACGCCACCTGATGGCTCGCCTCTGCACGCACGTCACTGTACAATGCTAGCTAGCTTTATATCCAGCGGGTACTGTACTCAATTGGTTCCTCCTCCCACTCCTCCTATTTCTTACCCCTCCCGTCAGAGGGACAGTTGGTACTGGGGTGCGGGAAGGGAGAAGCAAAGAAAAGCAGGAGGAGGAGGGAGAAGGAGGCGGGAAGGGGGAAGCAGGGAAGAAGGAGGGAGCAGGGAGGAGGAGGGAAGGACCCCAAGAGGAGGAGGAAGAGGAGGCAGAAGATGGAAGAGGACGACGGAGGAGACAGAGAAGGGGGGAGAGGAGGAGGCGGAGGAGGAGGAGCAGGAGGAGGAGGAGCAGGAGCAGAAGAAGAAGGAGCAGGAGGAGGGAGGAGGAGGGGGGAGGAAGAGCGAGGAGCGAGGAGCGAGGAGCGAGGTGCGAGGAGCGAGGAGGAGGCGGAGGAGCAAGGAGGAGGAGGAGGAGGAGGAAGGAGGAGCAGAAGGAGGAGCAGGAGGAGGGAGGAGGGAGGGAGGAGGAAGGGCCCCGGCCCTCCGACGCCTCGCTCCCTCGAAGTGCGGATGCCGAGTCGGCGCTGCCGATCCCAGAGAGGAGGAGGAGGAGGAGGAGGAGGAGGAGGAGGAGAAACAGGAGGAGGAAGAGAAATAGAAGGGGGCCTGGAGACGGCCCCGGGTGGCCGACAAACATCACGCCGGAGGTCTCGAGGGGAGGGGGAGGGGCAGGGCAAATGAAGGGGCCCCGGGACACACAAACAAATACACACAAATAAAATAATTCCCCATATTTTCCCCTATTTTCTGGCTTTTTGTCTTCCCCACCACTTCCAATATTTTCCTATATTTTCCCGGGAATCGACGATTAACTGTGTCTGTGTGTTTCT